ACAGAATCCTCCTCATTATTTAAGCCAGTTTGAGATGTTTTCTGCTACTTATAACTAACTGAAAGAGACTAACTGACAAATGTATCCACTGTCAGAGTGTAGATATGGAAAGAAGTGTTTCCTCTCCTGCTGGAGTCAAATTACTTTCCAGGCTTAGGTTTCTTGTTTCCCATCTAAAGATCACTCTTTTCTCCTAAATGACTGACATTGAATATCCATCCTTTCAGGAGAGAGTCCATTTCAGACCCACAGGAAGTATGACCTTAGTCTCAAGACACCTTTATCAAAATACAACAGTTCTAATAGCTGCCTAAGAGTTATTCAGATGAAGTTTTTTTGTTATACAACGAGGTAAACATATGGAGAAAGAGAGACAATGTTTTGGGAAGTACCTGTTTATGCAGCATGTTTTGGCCTTTCAGATAGTTCCCATGGTACACATTTGGCTTGTACACTCAAAAGATGGAAGTGAATACCACTCTATCAGAGTAAGTTCATGAAGCAGCCCTGAGAAAGAACAATCTAGAACCCATGGGGTGAAGCGTGAACAACAGCCTGGATTGTTCCTTCTCTCAATAGACTTATACCAACTGGACTGCATTTTCTCTTTCTAGTTTTAGGTGAAGTTGAAGTCGATCTTTCAGAACCTGTCCTGGCCCAAACCTGAAAATGGTCCTGAAGTCGCAATGCCTCCAGAATCTAGCCTCTCTGAAGTGCTTAGGTAACAGGAATTTAACAAAACATGTGCTTTAGTAGCTACATGCTGGAATACCAACTGAATCAGAAAATGTGTGGTTTTTTTAAAGGCTGATTTACAGTTCTACTAAAGACTTAAATCAGTACATTTGGAATTCTGACAGTGAAATGTTGACATCAGCAGCTTAATCCCAATATCTTTCAAATACCCTTTTTTTTTGAGACACAGTCTTGTTCTGTAGCCCAGGCTGGAGTGCAGTGGCATGATTTTGGCTCACTGCAACCTCTGCCTCTTGGATTCAAGTGATTTTCCTGCCTCAGCCTCCTGAGTAGTTGGGATTACAGGCACGTACCACCATGGCCAGCTAATTTTTTTTTTCTCTTTTTAGTAGAGACGGGGTTCCACCACCTTGGCCAGGCTGGTCTTGAACTCCTGACCTCATGTTATCCACCTGCCTCGGGCTCCCAAAATGCTGGGATTCCAGGTGTGAGCCACTGTGCTTTGCCAAATGTCCATATTTTGAAAGCACAACTAAATACATGTTTGACTGTTTGGGGAATAGAGGTTTATAGACTGAGAGAAGCAAATTGTGCTGTGGTTTGAATTTGTCCCCAGAATGTTCATGTGTTTGAAACTTTTTTTTTTTATTTAAGAGATGGGGTTTTACCATGTTGGCCAGGCTGGTCTCCAACTCCTGACCTCAAGTGATCCGGCTGCCTTGGCCTCCCAAAGTGCTAGGATTACAGACGTGAGCCACCTCGCCAGGGTTGTGTTTGAAACTTAATTACTATTGTAATAGTGTTGAGAGGTAGAACCTTTAAGAGGTGATTGGGTCATGAAGGCTCCATCCTCATGAATGAATTAATGCTATTATTGTGGGAGTGGGTTTGTTATTTTGGGATTGGGCTCTTGGTAAAGGGATACCTTCAGCCTGATTTTCTTTTCTGTCTTGTATGCTTGTTGGTCCCTGTCTGTCTTGTTTTCTACCATGGAATAACATAGCATGAAAGTCCTCACAAGATGCTAGCACCATGCCCTTAGAGTTCTCAGCCTACAGAAAGGTGAACCAAATAAAACACTATTGTTTATAAATTACCTTTTCTGTGTTATTCTGTTATAGCAGTAGAAAATGACTTCAGACAAGCTGCATTAGCATAAGTCTCCACTACTAAAAAAGCAACTTAAAGCATGTGTATCCCAAAGGTAGGTGAACAGTAAAGTCTTCCTTCATATATGGAGGTAATCATTTTCATACAGATATTTTTCTGAGGCCGGGCGCAGTGGCTCACGCCTGTAATCCCAGCACTTTGGGAGGCCGAGGTGGGTGGATCACGAGGTCAAGAGATCGAGACCATCCTGGTCAACATGGTGAAACCCTGTCTCTACTAAAAATACAAAAAATTAGCTGGGCATGGTGGCACGTGCCTGTAATCCCAGTTACTCAGGAGGCTGAGGCAGGAGAATTGCCTGAACCCAGGAGGCGGAGGTTGCGGTGAGCCGAGATCGAGCCATTGCACTCCAGCCTGGGTAACAAAAGCGAAACTCTGTCTCAAAAAAAAAAAAAAAAAAAAAAAAAAGATATTATTCTGTAACAAAGCTTTAAAAAAATCCTGGGAAACCTTAAAATATTAGTATGAGATGGCCTGTCTATGCCAGGGCAGCACATGGTCCATGCTGAGCTACAGAGACAATCGGGCTGTGCCCTCAGGATCACTGAGTGGGAGACAGCAGCACCAGTGGTGGCAGAGACCCCTGACATCAAGCCCTTTGGGAAGTGGAACACCAATGATGTGCAGATGAATAACATTTCCCTGCAAGATTACATTGCAGTGTAGAAGCATGCCAAGTACCTGGCTCACAATGCTGTGCAGTATGCCACTAAATGCTTCCGCAAAGCTCAGCGGCCCATACGTAGCACCTCATTAACTCCATGATGATGCATAGCCAAAGCAACGGCAAGAAGCTCGTGACTGTGTGCATTATCAAGCATGCCTTCGATTTCATCCACCTGCTCACAGGTGAGAACTCTCTGCAGGTCCTGGTGAACGCCATCATCAACGGTGGTCCCTGGGAGGGATCCACCGCATCGGGGGAGCAGGAACTGTGAGATGACAGGCTGTGGACGTGTCCCCACTGCACCGTGTGAATCAGGCCATCTGGCTGCTGCGCATAGGCACTTGTTGAGGCTGCCTTCTGGGACATGAAGACCACTGCTGAGTGCCTGGCAGAAGAGCTCATCAGTGCCACCAAGAGTTCCTCTGACTCCTATGGCATCAAGAAGAAGCACAAGCTGGAGTGTGTGGCCAAGTCTAACCACTGATTTTCCCAGCTGCTACCCTTTGGGACAGTCCGCCCCCCTAAAAAAAAGTGACGAGATTTGAAATCTAATTGTCCCCTAATATCTAGTCTTCCTTCCCTAGTTCTGAAACCCCATTTTCCAGACTTCTTTGCAATTTTGTATAGTCAAATAAGGTTTTTTTTGTTTACTTATTCAAAGCTATTGCAAATAAAAAATGACTAAGCTTTTACCAGCAGAATGAAAGCAAAAATGGTGCATGCCACCCCTACCCCTACCCCCTTCAAAAGTTTTGTTTTTGTTTTTGTTTTTGTTTTTTTTGAGATGGAGTTTCACTCTTGTTGCCCAGGCTGGAGTGCAATGGCAGGATCTCAGCTCATCACAACCTCCACCTCCCAGGTTCAAGTGATTTTCCTGCCTCAGCCTCCCGAGTAGCTAAGATTACAGGCATCCACCACCAAGCCCGGCTAATTTTGTATTTTTAGTAGAGACAGAGTTTCTCCATGTTCCTCAGGCTGATCTTGAACTCCTGACCTCAGGTGATCTGCCTGCCTCAGCCTCCTAAAGTGCTGGGATTACAGGTGTGAGCCACCTCACCTGGCCTAAAAATGTTCCTAAAGAGAGGAGTGTGCCCTCTGTATCTTCTGGTGGAATGCCAGCATTGTGACATATTTCAAAAGTAACTTATTCAGCACATATTTATTGAAAGTAACTTATTCAGCACACCTAGATCCTAGCACATGTAGAAGGGCTATAGGAGAACATTATCCAGGATGGATGGCATTTTTTGTGATAATTCCATGATACAAAACCTTTTACTTCATTATACCTCAGGGAAAATGCTTTTTAGATTTCCATTAATAATACCTCTACTTGGCTGGGCACGGTGGCTCATGCCTGTAATCCCAGCATTTTGGGAGGCGGAAGCGGGTGGATCACCTGAGGTTAGGAGATCGAGATCAGCCTGGTGAAATCTCGTCTCTACTAAAAATACAAAAATTAGCCAAGCATAGTGGTGTGCCCCTGTGAGCTCAGCTACTCGGAAGGCTGAGGTGGGAGGATCTATTGAGCCTGGGAGGTAGAGACTGCAGTGAGCCAAGATCACGCCACTGAACTCCAGCCTGGACAACAGAACAAGATCCTGTCTCCAAACAAACCAACCACCCAAAAAACAAACCTCGATTTCCCCTCAAACAACTAAATGGTTATAGACATTTCTGTAGGAAATCTAGACGGGGCTTCCAAAGGCTGTTAAAGTTATGCTGAAAATCCAAGAGGCTGAAAGGGATCTGACTATAAGAAAGACAAAAATCTGGGTGAATAGACGGGAGAGTGCCGAGGGAAATCAGAAGACTAGTTTTATTGTGCTGATAACCTCGGGTAACCAGCACTCGCTGGGTAGCCCTGGTTGACTAACTTCAGCTTTCTGGGTCTCCATTTCTGAATTGAGGGGATTAGAAAAAGGCATCTCTAAAGACCCTCCGTTCCCGAGAACCCTCCCGGAGCATCTTCCCTACTCTGGGCAGCTCGCAGACAAGGCCGATCGGTCATAGGCGAAGGGAGAGAGACGGGTCTCCGGCGCCGGGCTACGCGAGGGGGCTCGCGCCCGCCGGGTCTCCAGCTCCTTCCGTACGTGATCCACGGTACTGCACTTGAAGTCCGCGGGCAAAAACGCAGCAGTGGGAGCCCGGCGGCAGCCGCCCACCTGCGGGGGACAGGAGGGGCCCGTCCTACCCTGCTCCGAACCGTAGGTAGCTGGGTCTGGACCCCGGCTCCCGGAGGCCCGCAGAGGAGCGGTCCCCACCCCGCCCCTCGGAGCCCGCCCTGCCCCCGGCCGGCCACTTGCTGCACGCCGATTGGTCGCTGAGGAGCGCCCGGCGCCCCGCCGCGCCCAGCCAACGCCCTCTCCCCGCCCCCTCGTGCCCCGCCCCGCCCCCGGCTGGACACTTGCTGCGCTCCGATTGGTCGCTGGGGTGCGCACGGCTCCTGGCCCCGCCTCACCGGCGCCCTAGCCTAACGCCGGCGTCCAGCGGCCGGCTCCCGGGGCTGAGGTGGAGACGGAGGACGCCAGCCGGGTTGTGGCGTAGCCGTCTCCCTTCTGCGCGCGCGCCTGAAGTCGGCGTGGGCGTTTGAGGAAGGCTGGGTGAGTCCTGTCGGTGGATCTCCGGCGCCCGGCTACGCCAGGGGGCTCGCGCCCGCCGCCTACACGTAAGAAGGCGCAGTCGTCGGGCTCGATCCGGCCCGGCCTTCGGGGGCTGTGGCGCCGCCCAGCCGGGTTTTCCCTGCGCCGGCGCCTGCCTGCAGACTCTGGCCCTTGCCCGCGTCCCCTCGGGCCGACAGTGGTCGTGGCGCGGCCGCGACCCGGAAGCAGCCCGGGGAGGCCGCCCCGCCGCGCTGTTGCGCTGTCAGGTTGTGTTTCTGGGGAGGGCTGGAGAGGCTCCATCTCGTGCCTTTCACCTTCTCCGGCGGCGGGCACGGAAGTTACGGTTTTCGGGACACCCTGTTGCGGCCGCGACGCCCTCCCCGAGGCCGGAGCGAGGGGCCAGGGACAGCTCCAGCTCTTCTGCGCCCCTCCCGTTTGCCCCTAACTGTTGCTAGGAAGCTGCCCATGTTTTCTGCACTTTTCTGATTTCATCCTAACGAGAGGCGGGAGGGGAAAGGGAAGGGGAACCACATTCTTTTGAGAATTATACTCCTTGAGCTCCGTCCTTTTAAATAAGTAGGAGCAGAGCATTGTCACTGTAGCAGTGTTAGTCACTGGGAGGACCGTTTTGTTTTTTAGCCAGTAAGTTGGTTGAAGGTTCTTAAAACAGTTAAGTCAGAAGGTGCTGAAATTCCTAAGTAAATACTTGACCTTTCAAAACCAAAGCAGTAAGACAGCCTGGGCTTGGCTGCTTCCCGCTGCGCGTGCCTGGGTGGGGGTGTGGGGGGGCAGTGCGGAGGGGCCGGGTGGGGGGAGGCCTGGAACGGGACGGGGTGAGAAGTGGGATCGGCATCGTCGCGCTAGAAGACCTTTCTCTCTTCGGATGGTGCCACCTCCCCTCTCAGACTCTTCACCCTACCTGCACTGTACATGTCTTGACACTTCCAGAGGCTCTGAACTCTCATGCCGGTCACACTTCTTTTTCATCATCATTTTATCTTTGAAACCTGCATACATTTCAAACGTAGATAGAGCGAACCTTACAGTTTTTTTAACTGAGGATAGTGGTGCCAGACCTTGCTCTTGAAATGAAAACCAAAAGTTATCTTGAATATTGATCGCGCTGGAGAATCAGGTTTAATTAGAGTGAGGTGAGGACTGCTGATGTCACCAGAAGAGCAGGTTTAGAGTGAGGTGAGGACGTATATTTCTTCTTCCAGAGACACAGCCTCCCCACTCACCACCCCAATCCCTCCTCTGTCAACTAGGATTACAGCAGCCTTACGCTGGCTAGTCTTTTCTGAATTCTGAATTCAATTCTGGGGGCCAAGGTAAAGAATTTATATTATTATTATTATTATTATTTTTCCAGACAGGGTCTCACTCTGCCGACCAGGCTGCAGTACAGTGGCCCGATCTCGGCTTACTGCAGCCTCCGCCTTCAGGGTTAAAGGGATTTTACAGCCTCAGCCTCCATGCCTGGCTAATTTTTATGTTTTTGTAGAGAGGGGGTTTTGCTATGTTGGCCAGGCTGGTCTTGAACTCCTGACCTCAAGTGATACGCCCGCCTCGGCCTCCCAAAGTGCTGGGATTACAGGCCTGAGCCACTGTACCCAGCACATTTCCCCCTCTTTTTTTTTTTTTTT